GAGTAAACATGCCCGACGAGGGTTCGGCTGATAGACATGCGCTGAGCATGCCGCCAACTGAGACTCGTAAACTCTGGGAGGACCGCCGTAGGGCGAGCCCACGAGCTGCGACATACCCTGCATGTCGGCTTGAGGATAGTACTGGTTCGGAGGCTGGTAGCCAGTTCCGTTGGGCGAAACAAAGCCTGCTTGCGCGGGCGATTATTAGCAAAACGTGAATTCGAAACGGCGTGCCCCGACAAGGGGCGACCAAAAGGCTACCTTGGCCGTATGGCTGCTTGCATGCCATAAGGGCTGACAGCCTGACCCCGGGAAGGATAAGCCATCTGCTGGGGATAGCCCATATCCCTGCTGGACGGTTGTTTGTGCGAATACACCGGCTTAGTCTGCTCAATTTGGGCGTAGGATGCAGGCGACGTGGACGATATATATGGCGTGGCTGTGGTATGGCGAACGAGATTCACCTCCTTCAACGCATCCTCGGACCAGAGGTCAACGTTGAGGACGTACATGGTATGCTCTATCTCGCTGTAGGACGAGTATGCACCTGGTCAGCTGCGGCCCGAGTTGTTTGGTCTCGGTCCGGGCGGCGGTCTACTTACTTGCAATCGATCTCCTTCCCGGTTTTTGCGTCTTTGACTATGAGCCTCACACAGGGAGGAGGCGTGATGGGCCGCCGGTCCTATCCGGCTGTCAGCCCACGGTCCCGTCCAACAAGCCGAAATCTCCAGCCCAGAAAGACAAGCGTACCTTGTCACCGAAGCCACACATACGCGCACGTTGTGGCTGTTGCACAACATCCAGGCTGCCGGAGCTCGGATTAGCGCCTGTCCACAGCGGCCCGAAAAAAAAAAAAAGAAAAACATACATGACGCGCATGATCGCCGCGCCTCGGTTGCTGCAGCCAGGGCGAGCGGCCCGGCGCCGAAGGGGAAAAAAACAAAGGGAGTCTTACGAGTATACCCGGCTCTGGTCATCTTCGGACGAGTACGGTTTGAGGTTCAACTCCTGCTGGCGTTTCTGCTCCGGAGTGAGGGGGGCGCGCTCCTGCGACTGCGACGGCGACGGCTGGGAGGAGTCGGCGGAGGACTGGCCTGGCTGTAGCGCTCTGGGACCTGTCATCGGAACGGTTTCTTGGTATTGGGTGCTCGGTGGGGGCATTGACGGGAGCTGCTGCATCTGGTGCGCGGGATACGGCGGCTGGTGGGGATGCGGGTGCATGTCGGGGGGCATCGGCTGTGCCTGGCTCGGGGGGTACGGCGGTTGATGCATGTTTTAGGTTGCGGTCGAGTCCCGCGGGACCGCGCCGGTTGCGGATCAAAGACGACGGTCGTCGGCTGGTTTCCCGAGGCGGCTGTGTGGGCGTGTTGCGGCGGCAAAAGAGAGTACCGGTCGGTCGGAGATTAGCTCCAGAATAAAGCGGGTAGACGACGGGCGCTTCTTTAGGCGGTGCGGCAAGGTAGGTGGGTGGGAGCAGTCTGCGATCGACGAGGGGCGGCGGGTGGCCCACTGAGGATGGAGGATGGGGATGGAAATGGAAGCGGCGCGGTGTTGGCTGGTGATTGGAGATTGGAGATGGGAAGACAGACACAATGGGCCTGAGATTATGGGAAACCCTGAGCTTGGCGTTGGAGTGAGGGGGCCGCGGCTGCTTATATACCCTTGGGGGCTGTCTGGCGAGCTGGCTACCAGGAAGGTGAAACTGTCTTCGAAGTCTGTGTTATTGCGCCCTAGTCATGGAACTACCAAAAAGCATCGGGCGAGGAGGTGAGGGTCGTGGTGGGGAGACGCTGCCCGGTGATGGGTGATGGTCGATGGCGCATTCCGGGGATGCGGGCAGAGCTTGGCCCGCTTTTGGTGTGTTTTACTGACCCATGATCCGTTCTGGGGGACGGGCTGTTCGCCAGGGGGTGTTAATTCAGCACTGTGCTGGGGGTGCCTGCAACCCCACCATTTCCTGGGGGGGGGGGTTGAGGAGGGGCCACCATTTTTGTGAACTTGCAGCGAGTCCCCTTGTTCTTTTGGGTACGTACCACTCAACCACGACCTTGCACATCTCAGCCGCAGCCATAGTTCCAGGAGCGGGAGCGGGAGCACTTCCTCTTCCCTGGACGGACCCAGGGAAGAGGAAACAGATCTTGCAGAATCCCCGGCGATGGATGAACAGGAGTCAGGTCTCCTTCAGTTTCAGCCGACAAAAAAGACCACCGGTCCGAGGGACCTAGAGAAGAACATCAGTGCCCGGGGCATCGCCGAAGCTCCCGTCGCATGATGCCACGGACACGGCGACTCTGGTCTGCAACGGTCAGTCAGCCTTAAGTCAACCCCGACCCGCGACGCGCAAGTGCCACTCGGATTTTCGACACACGGGACACGGTCGGTTGGTGTGGGGCACGGGCCATACACACAAGACAGCTGTGATCCATTTCAATACCTTCCATCCTAGCCCCTTCCCCAACCCCCGGTCCTGGACGAGCGGGACTCGAAGTCGGGCCCGCGATCGAATCCGCGGACCTGGGTTCTCTGTCTCGGAACGGCTCCGGCAGGGGGTCAATCAGACGACAAACACACCCACAGACACCATTCCGAGGCCCTGAGAAGCAGTCAAACTCGGAGCAAAGTTCACGGTCACCGTCCTTCCCGGACTCTGGACTGCGTACGTTTACACGCGCCGCTCCCTAATCACTACCTTACCATGGCGAGTATGCGCGGGCCACATCAAGGGAGGTGTCATCCATGCGGCTTCTCGGTTGTGTTGTGTCGCGCGAAGGGGGTTGCGTTGGGGTATCTGTATCTCGCGCGAGAGGTGCTGGGATCCCGAGAGCTCGTTGCCAAGCATGCCTTGCCGTGTCCGTTCCTCCTTCGGGTAGAGTAAGCTGCCGGCACCGCGCAGCTCGCGTCTTCCTCCCACCCACGAGCAATTCCAAATGTTTTGCAGGTGCCGCGGGGTGTTGGTTGCCACCGAGCCTGGCCCAAGTTTGGCCGCCCGGAGAGCATCATACTGGATAGCAAGAAACTCGTCGCTTGACATCGGCATCCCGCCACAACACGGTCGGCCGGTTCCTGCTCCCCATCCTACCACGGTATACCCCCCTCCCCGCACATCCCGTGGATAGTGCGCTGTGTCTCGCCGAGCATCCCTGACGTCTTTCAATACCTCACATCGTCGAGTTTCCACACCGGTACAGCAACATGACACGCAGTGCCCGGTTTCATTGGCTAAGCGGCACGGCACCTGCGGCTCGACAAGCAAGTGGGCGCTCCCACCTGGACGGTCAGCCAGTCAGCAGATTGTGTGGGCTTATATTGCAATTTAGTTCCCGCTGCGGTCGCCAGATATGGCATGTGCGTCGAGATGACAGCAGTCCCGGCTCCTATAACTGACGGCAACAAGGTAGGGTGTTGATTCGACCTCTTCGCGAAACCCCTGGGGCAGCTCCCCACACGAGCCACCCGCCGCTACACCCCTCTGGTTTGGATCGAACCCGTCCTTGGGATGGCGGCGTCCCCCAACCGCTGAAGAGTGTGGGAGAGGGCCGGTGTGTGCGCCTCGCAAGAGCGGGCATGCATGCGAGCGGCGTGCTTGTTGCGGGAAGCTGGATGCGTTCCTATTCGACCACAGGCGCTGCACTTTGAGTCTCACCAAGCTCACCTCACCAAACTGAGGGGAAAGGGCCAGCAGGTTGACGCCAACTGCGCCCCTCCCGACAAGATCCCTGCCGAGTGAAGCTATATCTCGGGTCGCGGGGGGATTAACAACACCTCGCCAGCGGCCAGCCCCGCCCAAAGCAAACCCGCGCTGGACCTTTCCACGCCTGGCCAGAAGCAGAGGCTGGGTCTAATTTGCTCACTATCCGCTGGGAGGACCCCGAGTCTTTTCGCAAGACGAGCACCGAGAGCGCGCTGAATCCCACCCGATACCTAGTTATTGAATTTCTCATCTGGGGGCGCGGCGGGTCGACTTGCCACGTCCAAGAATAGCATCGCGAGAGCCGCGTGACCCCGGCTGCCCTTGCTTGCCGAAGGCCCAGAGGCCCTTTCCTCTCCCCAGCTTAGGCCCTGCAATTCCGGGCCATGCTGGCTCCAAAAAAGAACCGAGCTGGGGTCGGTCATCTTGTCGACTCAGGCATGGGTTCTCCACGATTTCCAGATCTCCGACCGTGAACACAAAAAACCGGGGACGGAGTAGAGCACATTGGTCCCGCGAAAGAGCGGTTCAATGGTCCGGTCCGGGCTGTCCTGCAACCTGGATTTTTTGTGTGTGGGATGCCCTTCATGTAGAAGTTCAAGTTCCCAGGTTCAGAGCTTCCAGTGCGGAAACAACAGGCTGGTTACAGTGCATTCCACACAGTAGGGGGGGATGCCGGGTGGCGCCGGGCCCACTAAGCAAGCACTTGACGGGGTGGAAGGAGCTTTTTCATCAGACCGCACGCCCCACGACGCACAGACCTTGCATCGCCGTCAATCACAGCGAGCACTTGACAAGTGGTGCCTTGCCGCGCCAAGAAGGGAATTTTGGTCGATCCCCCAAACAAGCGACAAAGACGCCCGAAAAGTGAAAATCAAAAACGAGCAAATTCCCAAAACGGGAGAAGCGCATCTGAATTCTTGGATCGCCAGAAGCTCCGACTCCAAATCGAGGAAAAGACGTCAACTTGTCTGTCTGTGCGCGCTCTCGGGCTTGTCCCAGCACCACCTTCTTTTATTTTTCCTTTACTTTCTGCCCCTTGTGCCCCTGCAGCTTCCACAAGATTTCGACGGAGCTTCCATTATCTGCAGGCGTGCATCATGCAGCGTCCTCCTCGCCTCCGAATCAATCTCTTCGACAGACGAGGTCTCCAACTGAAACACTGGATGGACCACAACGGTCCTGCGTCCCAGCCTTCTGCACGCAAACCTTTCCACATGCGGTAGAGCGCATCGGCGGGAGTGCCGCCCAGGATCGAGATGGACAGCTTCTCGAACATAACCGACGCTTGAACCCCCGGACCAAGCAGCAGAAGAAGCAACGGAGTTGTCGCTCGCCGCTCTCACCGCCGCCGACGTCGGGGCAGATAGAGTGCGCTGCAAGAGCCCCTCCACCTAATTCCTGATCCACCCCTCAATGGCGTCAGACCAATGTGAATAGTTGCTGATCTACACTGCGGACCGCCTCGATCATGCTGCCTTGTCGAAGATGGATTTTCGATGTCCAATCGCCGCCGTGTTGGTCAATCTTTGCTTCCGGCTCCCGGGCTATACAACTCGGTACGCAATCCGGATGCTTGTACCCGAGAAGAGTCCCACTCCTCAACAGACACCGCCACCTTTCCCACCTTTGCTGTTGTTTGAAAAATGTCGACAAGGTGGACACGGCTACCAGGGTAAGGGTGGTGGTGGTAATGCCTTTGCGTTGAGCGCATGGTTGTGCTGATGACACTTGGCATCCCATGGCTCACCCACCCGGCTTGGCGTTGCGTTTGGGGAAGGATTCTAGATGTTCCAAATCCGTGCACTCAAGACAGCCAGGGGTTGTTCTCCCATGCTCATTCATGCGGCGCCTTGTCAGAGGGTGACTCTTTGGGAACCAGCGCTTCGCACTGACACCATCTGGGCTGAGATGTCAAGGGAGCTCAGTCTTCCACCGCTTCCCCTCGACATGGGAACACCATCGACACCCCCCCATGGCCAGCTGGCTCCATGCTCCAAGAAGCTAGGGCTGGGTAACAGCGCCGGCCTCGCCTAACCGGCGCCTAGCCGAATTAGCAAACAAAATCGTGCCGGCGGCTTCTTTGCATTGACAAGATGCCGAATCCGAGCCTGGCGCGTCCAGCACGGCACCGCCGTCTACCCAGGTCCCGTGTGCCATCCCGATCTACAGTCAATTCACCACACAGTTCCGGTGCGTGTTTTTCTCCCCTTGTGTGATTTGGAATACGGAAACGTGCCGCGCCTTGCAATCCGTACCGTTTCACACAAACTTTAACCGGCCCACCTCCATCGTCGGCAGCTAGCCTGGGTTTCTTTGCAGGATATTCCGCGAGACCTACCTGCTCAACCGTTTTTGAGGGGATGGGATGTACATGGTTGACGAGCGTCAAAATAACGCCTCCAGTAACCTGCTCCGGGGGCGCCCTCGAGGAAAAGGTTATTGCTACAGTAAACTCTTAGGAAGCTCGCTAATCACTGCGTACGGGACCCAGGATAAGCTTTTCTCTCAACAAGAGCCTGTGCCTTCTGACACCTCTTACCCATCCTGTTCACTAGTTCTCGTCGTTGGGACTCCGCTTAGAAGATGTTTGGGCATGGCTAACCCCAACTTTTGGGGGTAACCGCATCGTGTCACAATCTACCCATTGCCAGAACGCGGGGCCTTAGATGGCTGGAAGATATTGGCCAAGATGGGTCTTCTACGAAGATCACCTGGGGCTGCCTAGGCGTGGGGACAAGGACATGAATTTGCATCCGCGGAAACCTCACCAAGCAATTCTGGTGGATAACAGGCCTCGTACATACTACGCGGACTCCCCTTCTACCATGCCAGCCGTTATACCCTCCCTTACAGCGCCCCTTTGCGGTGCCTCTCAAGCGTGGCCATCATGAATGGGGCCAGACTCGGTACCACGGCGGCACCTTTCGCGGGTCTCGCCGTGAGCAGAGAGCACTACCGTCCAATGACGCCCCGGCTGCGGGCCGCAACCGCTGGTTGACGGTGGGTGATGAGCAGTCCAGGCCCCTTACTCGGCCTCGTCGGTCTATAGGGGGGCAGGTCAATAGCCAAGGACAAAGGCGCCTCCGCGTTGTCCGTGGGAGGGGGTGGTGCAGTACAGTGCGTGATCTCTGCTTATCCTATAGGTTGAGCAGGGCCGCCTACCGTTGGCACTGGGTCACGCAGCTTGGATATCTTGCCCTCGGTGGACGAGATCGGCAAAGGGGGAAGGTCGGCTGGCGTGTCGGGGATTGTCAAGGAAGCGGGGCAGAGGGGGGTATATCCGCCTAACTCGTGATGCTGCAGAAGCACTGATTCTGCGCGGGGTGGAGGCCTTGAGGGCGCGCTTCGAGGGGAGGAGGTCCGGATGGGTGGGTATCAAGACCATGGAAAAGCAAAACCCTTTCCTAGACACCCACCACACCAACAAAGTCCGGTCAGCTGTGTGGTAGGACCGAAACAGGTTTCCTACATGTCTCATCGGGACTAGAAGGGGTCACGAAGTTGGGGGCCTCGAGCACCCGCCCTTTGAGCATGTTGGACAGGCCGAAGTTCCAACTCGCCCGTCGATCCCGTGCCGGCGTGGGAACAAACACGCAAACATTCAGTTTCTGACCAAGAAAGGGGTCGCCGTGTGGATTCCTCCTCCTCCGGCCACTCTCGTCCCAGAAAGCCCGAGCCGTAGGTCACAAATCATGGGCCCAAACAGCGCTCCTGGCTATCCAGTGCTGTCTGTCGCAAACGGGGGAATCGACCCTTCAGGCTTCATTCCTGGTTGCGGCCCGCGCGGGCGCTCCGCGATGACTAGGGCAAGGACGGTCGAGCATGCCCGGTTCTCGGGAATCGGTCCTCACACATGACAGGTGTTGACATGGAGTACCCAGCATTCAGGACCCGGGGGTTCCTCGGCATGGGCTACGGCGTGCCGCCGAGCTTTGACATGCCGGTATCTGTTTGGCTCCGCGCCCGACGATCTGCCAGAAAGCATCTTGAATTTCTGGAGCGGTCGGGCGCGCTTCCGATCGAGCCAACCCGTTTACGGTGGGGCGCTACTAGTCGTGAGGAAAGGCCCGTTTAGAGCCTTTTCTTATCTGAAGAGCTAGAGTTGATATTGGCAAGCAATATTGGTCAGCCTGGCTCCTCCTTTTTCGCTCATTTTGCTTTGACTTTTTTGCATTTGATACCTTTGTTTTCTTGTCACTTATGCCTGTTTTCTATTTCCTTCTTCTCTCGCCCCATATCATAACAACGTCGAACGACTTTTGTTATAATAAAAACGCAGATGCAGTCCAAGCATCGGGGACCTTTGCGGTCAGGAGAGTTTCCAGAACACTGAGGATCGGCTGCGCCAAGGCTGGCGATCTGGCACGCACATGAGACAATCGGCCAGATCTCGATCGATATGGGATGCCTGAGCGTTTAACGATAAATCCAAAGCCCACTTACGTTACATACGTCGATTTCTCGTCTCGTGCCGCGTCACCCCCTGCGGCTCTGGATCTCCCGCTTTCCCGAGCCGGGACGAGATGCAGGAGGCGGGCGACCGGCCGTGTGTGATCTCCTGCGCAACAATGGCAGGTAGGTAAGGCGATGATGACAGCCCGGACACTGAGGACCGATTGCCGATGCGCGGGGATTTCCGCCCGGGTGCACCTGAGAAGATGGGACGAGGGGACAGGATCGCCGCAAGGGCGCATCTGCCGTCTCATCTTCAAAGCATGTGGCGGAGCCCCGCGCACGAGCGGTTCGTGAGCTTCGGATCATACATACACCTTACCTTGCGCAGCACTGTAGCATGCCGCGGGGGGTTCCGCGCCCGTACGCTCGGGATTTTTTTTCTGCGCGGCGTTGCACTGAGAAGGCTAGAACCACGTCGTCGTGTTCGTCAAAACCGGGTTCACAACCACGCGCGCGCGTGTGTTGCCCGTGCCAAGGTGCAACCCAGATGCGAATGATCGACGGGTTCGAAACCGTCCGCCAGCGTGGCTCTTCCATTTCACAAAAAGCCCATGCTCGGGAGCCAAATGTATCACCTTATTACTAAATAGTTAACTAGTAGCTTACTCAGTTCCTTATAAGCGGCCCTGCAACCGGTACGGCCCTTGCCGAAGCGTAGCGATCCCAAATAGGAAGTTGTCGGTAATCTGTAAGTTAGTGTCGCTCAGATCTCTCGGGTCTGGGCTTGATTTGACTTAGCAAGTTACCGCCTCGAGCACGCGTGCTCAATCACCATTGTCGCATCTCCATCGTTCCCGGTCCACACTCGGAGACATCAAATCAATGTATCCAATTTGTCAGGATACGCTCGCTATCTACCAAGGCCCGCCCACCGGTCCAAGAACCGGATTCTCTTCACCACCGATCCCGAAAAAAGGGGTAAAGTAAACAATAAGCATTGTCAACCCTAACCCTCTACCTGAACAACACCATCCATCGTAGACGTGAAGAAGCGCAAGCACACATGAGAAGTCACACCGCTCATGTAGTCAACCACTGTTTTGTATTTCTCAGTCCTAATTTTATTTGTGGCCCCGTCTCTTTCGCCAGGCTGGTTGTCCGCCGTATGGCTGGCTGATCCTGTTTAAACCCCCCCCAGAAATGGTGAAGACATAATGGGGGGTCCAAATTTATACACACAAGAATCAGAGATCGAGAAGACATGTAGAGGAAACATTTCCCTTTCTCATAAAACACAAGGTATCTAGTGCACAACATCTAGTACCCAAGCCTCTTCGGCAAATCCTAATGTATGCAGCACTTGTGCCGCGTAGTCGAAGTTTAAAAAAAAGAAAAAAGTGAAGACAAAAAAGACCAGCGCTGGTGGGGGTAGTTATCATACGTGGCGGCCGCATTACAAAGGACAAAGTAAAGCCCATCCATCCGTTTCCTTGATTTCTGGGAATCATCCCCCCCCCCTTCCCCCCTCTGATCCCCCCCTTGATTCCCCTAGTTAGTTCGTTTCCCTCGTACTGAACACCTCTCTGAACGCCGTGCCCACAAAATCGTAATAAACCCCGGCCTCTTTCTTGATGTTAATAGAAAAACAAGTCCAAGTCTTCCATGAGCCTTCCCGTCTGGCCTCTGGAGTAGGATGTAAAGAAATCAGTACACCGGTCGCAGGTAGGATGTCGGTCCCGCTGAGGAGCCGACAGGATGGGTAGCACAGCTCCCGTGAGCTGGTAGCAACAATAGAGCCCTCAAGAGAATTGAGAAGGTGCGGTACGATCAACGATTTACGAATCGGCCAGCTTAGCAAAGTGTTTCGACCAGATCCACCCGACGACGTCGCGCGGATCGTCTTGGTTTTTGGCTAGCCAGAGCTCGCCCTTTTCAGCGATGACGTCAAATATCTGGACACCTTTAGTCAGTAAACATCACTCTCACGATATGCAGGTGGATATGGAGGATAACTCACTTCACCCGCTTGATACGTCAGGTAAGGATACCCCGCCTCATGCTTGGTCGTCTCAATGTTGAACTCAAAGAGCGACGCGGCCAGCCAGAGCACGTTATACCCGTTGCTAGCAGCAGTCCCCCTGTCCCTAGACGAGGCCCTCGACGACCTGGCGCTCTCCTCCGGCCCATCGGGTAGCGGCAGCGCGGAGTTGAATAGACCCGAGAGACGCCTGGTCTGCTGATCGGCACCGGCGCTGTGGGCCGGGTAGCTCGAGTTGAAGGTCGAGTTCGAATCACGCCGGTTGGTCGACATGGCGGTGGACTCGGAGCTTTGCCTCGGCAAGCTCGTCGAGTCAAAGCTGTGGCCGGTACTGGGACGCATAGAAAGGGGGACTGCGGCTACCGGGGGTCGGCTTCCGTTGGAGTTCTCGGCGGGCGTGACGGGCGAGCCGCCGCTGCCGCGGGGGTAGCCGTTAATACCAGAGTAGTAGTCGCGGTAGTAGTTAGCAGGACTGGGGAGAGCGCTGCTTGCTGGGGATAGGCTGAACTGTCCGCTGTTACGCTTGACAAAGTCGGGAGTAGGGAGAGCCGGGATGTGATCACTGTTAATGGATAAGCCCCTCCCACGGGGCGAGAGGATATCGCTCGGTCGTGACTTGGTCTTGGAGAGGATGGAAGAAGCATCGTCGGTGGTCGACTGCGACGCCCTGCCCTTAAGCGTGGGGTTGACGATTCCGAGAGCCTTTGCCCGCTCCTCCTGCAGCGCAAATTCTCGCTGGAAGCTGGTCACAATCTCAGAGAGCTCGGGAACGTGCGTAACGTCGGACAGCGGCGCTTTGACCTTTTCCTTCCAAATGGCATACCAAGCTGCTTGGATGCTAATGAACTTGCCCAGGCAGATGTTCCCGACCTTGGCTGTCATCGCGGAAAGCTTGGGAAGCTCTTTCTTGAGCGTGTCGTTGAGCGCCTCGTACTGCTCAACCAGCTCTGCGAGTTGCTTGTCTACCTTCTTTCCGTTGGCCTTTAGCACCATGTATTTTTCGTAGTCCAGGCGCCGTTTCGCCCGCTTCTTCATAGCGAGTGAGGGGTTTCCGTAGCACCTGATGACCTGTTCAAACGGCTCGATGACGTGCTTCCGAACGTCGGTAAGCTGGCAATGAATTAGCACGCAAATCAGTAGAAGCGAGTTGGCAGCCTTACATGTTTCTCCAGGGCGATTTTCTCAATGTCTCTCATAGATACGTTGAACTGCACCCATTTGCTTTCCAAGTGGGCATAGTCTCGGGAGGGCTGGAGGCGCATGACGAGCTCCATGGAGGACAGATATTGAAGAAACTCGTGAACGTAAGTCGCAACGTTCCTGGAGTAGTACTCTACGTCACGCAGAACGACTTGGAGCCGTAGATAATCGTCCCCGAACTGCTGTTGGAACTTTTGGTAATCCTCGTCTTCGGCTGTCTTGGTGGCGGACACCTGAAGTTTGTCGACGCGCTTGCCAAACGCTCTGGCTATCCCAGCCCGGACATCCGAGTCTTTGCGCTTCCTGTTGCCCACGATCTGGCCGACCAACTCAAAGTTCTTCTTAGTCTTGTTGATCTCGTCAATAGCATCGATCACTACCGTCCTCGCGCTGACCAGCGATTCGCGGTCCGGATGGTCCTCTGGAGTGTACTTGAGGAGATGGGTGATAATATCGGGATACTTGGTGATGCGCTGCATCGGTTTGATGAGGAGCGAGTCCAAGTTCCAAGCACTGGTCAGCTCCTTTGCCACCTCATTGCACTCGTTGAGCCAGAGCATCACGGTCTTGTCTTCTTGTATCTGCACGAGCCGCTTCGAGGAGTTATCGCTGGATCTCAGATACACCTCATGAACTGCCTTCAGCTGCTCGATATTTTTGGAGAATACCGAGCCAAGCATGGTGAGACGATCCTTTTCGTCGTTCCGCTCGGGCTTGTTCGCAGAGAAAACGGAATTCAGGGTCGCCGTGTCGGAGTCTTTCGCATCTGGCATCGGGGGAGGAGACCGCCTGCCTTTGGGGGTGTAGATGGTCGATGCTCCCTCCTTGAACTCGATCAACAAGGCGGCGTGAAAAGCGATGATCTCGTCTGTGTTCCTAAAGATCAGCTTGACTGTCTTGTTGTCCAGATTGGGGCACGCCTCGGCCGTGCCCTTGTAGATCTCTTCGACGACAGTCATGTCTCGGACAAAGGCGTCTTCCGTGTCGATGAGCTCTCGGATAACCAGTTGCCTTTGCCGGAGCCGCTTCTGCTCTTCTTGCTCCTTTTCTGTCAGCGGGGTCTGGCCATCATAGAGTGTCTCACTGAGCGAGACACGTGAGGGCTCTTGGTCAAGGCGGAGTTGAGAAAAGGACTCCGGAGGTGACACAGTCCCTGAAAGATCGCGTTCACCGTCTTGGCTGTATGCGTAACTTTCTGGTCGGCTTTCCGCAAGATACAAAGTGCTCTCCCGTTCATACTTGCGCTCCGTTGGGGGAGGGCGGGGGGCTTCACGTTCCGGGAGAGGCGCTACGCTTCCGGGTTCCGATTCGCTCTGCTGCCTGAAAGATTCCGCATTGGTGAGCTCGGGGAGTTGTTGCTGGCTACCCAACAAATCGGGTATCATAGGGGAGGGCGGGGCGCCGGATTGGACCAGCGGTGATGACTCTGGGCTTTGCGCAAGGTCGCCGAGACTTGATGCACAAGTACTGAGATCTCCCGTAGAAGCTGCGGCTCTGAAAGACGCCCCGTCGTCATGGGTGTCTACTTCATGTGACTGGGATGTAGAACTTGGATGACCAGTGTTGCGGTCTTCACTCCCGAATGAGAAGTCGGTCCACGCGGAATGCTGACTTGAACGGTTCCCCGGTGCGAGCAGGCCGGGCACAGCCAGATTGTGTGACGTTTCCGGCAAGTTTTGGTACTCTGCTGGGGCCAGGTGGCCATCAAGAGGCGTGCTAGGATCGGAGGAGGTGAAGGTTGAGTCACGTAGAGCCGCAATGTTGTCGCGCAGGCGCGGTCCGGTATAGAAGTCTTCGATACGGTCCAGTGTTTCGACCTCAATGTGGGGTTCCCCAAATTGGGCATCGCCAGGATGCAAAGTCTCAGGAGCAATAATCTCAGGGGTAATGGTAGCGGGAGGCTCATCTGCTTGAGGCAAGTCGGCCTGGGGTATGGTTGCACGAGGCAGCTCCTTGTGGAACGGCCTGAAATCAGTTTCCGGACCCAAAATCGTGATCGTGGTTTCGTAGTTGTCGGAGAAGGTGTACGGCCGGGGCACGTACTCGTCGTCTTCGGCCGGAGGAGGGGCAACGGCGGGTTCGGGCTGAGATTCGGGTTCGAAGGTCGCGCGAGTTGGTGTGAGCTCGGATGATTGTGGTCTAGGGACCGATGATGGATCAAGAGAAATTTTGATGGAGACGCTGTCATCTTCATCGGCATCGTCATCAAATGGGGACTGATACGTTGCTCTCTTGGGTAGATCGGGAATGGCGGTTTGCTCGGGGAGCTGCTGCTCGACTGTTTCGGGTTGAGGTGTGGGTTGAACTAAATTCGGCGTGATCACTCCCAGCGCGCCGTCGATTGATATTGGCATTTCCTGTCTGGGGGGCTCGGTTTGCACCTCGGTATCGAATTCGGTTACCGCGCTTGTCATCGAGATGGCGGAGAGGGGGATGTCGTCCTGTTCGTCTAATGGGGACCCGGCGCCGGGGAAACTGCCTGGTATTTCTAATCTCAGTGTATCGAGAGGGGCACGGAACTCCTCCGCTGGTGGTTGGGGCGTAAGCATGTCCGCCTCAGACTCCTGTGATTCTTCAGTCTGGGGTTCTTGTTGTTCTGTTGCCGCGTCGGAGGGGCGGCCATTGTCCCGGGCTTTCTTAGACGGTGTCGTGGCAGAAGCCGTGGCAGCCGCCGCAGCCGTGGCGTTAGCAACAGCCGCCGCTGTAGCCGCCTCTGCCTCTACCTTTGCCTTAGCGACAGCAGCTAACTCTTTCTTTCTCTTTTCCGCAGCGGCCTGCCTGACTTCTTTTGCCTGGGTTTCCCGGATGGATTTGCTGTAGGCAAGTTTGATGGTTTCCCGTCGTTGGGCGAAATCTATTGCGCCAACGGATACCTTACGCCTTCGGGGCGTCGGTTCGTCCGTCTTGACGGTGCGTTGAGATTGCCTGAGAGGGGAAGCGCTGGCCTCCACGGTTCGCATTCTCGATGCTGCAGTCGTGGCGGTAGCAACTGACTGGCGAGGCCGAGAGCTCCGCAGGCTCGGAGACAATTTGGGAGTCGGCACAGAGACATAGGCATTGAGCCGACTACTGGGTCGACTGGTGGGCCGAGTTGTAATATTTGACGGCGGGGGCTTGCGAGCCGAGCTTGAGGTTCGGCTTGATGCTTTGGGGGCGGGGTTCCCTGTGGGCGTCCTCGCGCGTGTTGTTGAGGAGACATGTTGTCGGGATGTTCTCCCGCTGGATGTGGAATACTTGTTGAAGGTGGAGGGGGAGTTGGAGCGCGTCGACACCGGGCTTTCGCCGTGGGTCGAGGCATCGTTCATCCTCCGAGCCAGCCGCGGAAGACGCGAGGTCGGAGAGGCCGGCGATGTGGGTGAGATTGGGGAGTCGACATCGTGCCTCGCTGCACCGTGGTCCGGGCGGCTCAAGGTCAGTTTGGATCCAGCAAGATCACTGCGGGCTCGAGAGTGATGACTTTTTGGTATCCTGGACACGGGGTGATCGGTGCTCTGCTGCTCAACCGGGCCTGCAGCGCGGTACCAATCGGTTGGCGACGGTGGTTCTGTGTCGGCGATGTCCGGGTTCGAGAGAGTTCTCATCTGTGCCCGTGCAGGGTTGATGATGTTGGACTCGGAAGTCCTCCTCGGCCGGGCCGGTTCGATGCCGAACCCGGGTGTGACGGCGTCGCTCTGATCCGGCAGGATCTCGCCAAACAAAAGCCCATTTTGACGCGGCACAGCAGGCTGTGCCATGGGCTTGGGTGATTTTGTAGTGGTGGGACCGGCGGTGCGAGGTCTGGATATCCTGCTTGCAAACGACTGTGAATTGCCAGAGGTTTGGTCTTCGGTAGGCAATTTCGATCGTTGTGAACTTCGGGTTCCGGAGCCTTTACCTGTGCCGCGCCCTGTGTCCCTGTCTCTGTCTCGTGTCGCCGTCGTCCTAGTTGTACTGTGCGAGGTTGTACCGGGTGATCTGCCATTAACGCTACTCGACGCCGTGTCTCGGGTTGAGGCTCTCGGGACGGATTTCCGGCCGCCGGAGGCGGATTGAGAGGATGACTGGTCAAATTTCTTTTTGAGATCCTTGACGCTCGGCGGAACGCCCTCGGCGGCAGCTGACGGTTTCGAACCCCCCGCGCCAGAAACTCCTGATCGGCTGTCGACTGGAGTCGAGGCGGAACGCTGGCCCGGTCGCAGGGCGCCGCGGTGGTTCACCGGAACGGCGGGGTGCTTCGGGGTCGTTCCGTTGCCGTTCGACCGCAACGACGGCGCCTGCCGTGTGCTGCTGGATACCGTCGCCTGGGCCATGGGGTCCTTCACTGGCGGGGAGGTATTTCCAGCATCCTCGGTCGGCTGCGGGCTCTGGTAGCTGCGGTAAAAGTCGGCGGGGTCTACAGAGTCGTCGGGAGGTTGTGGATCGCGGGCGGTCGCGAGGGCATTGGCGGAAAAAGCGTGCAGATTCGCGGCGGCGTACGGGTCGAAGGGGTCGGGCGAGTTCGGGCCGGAGCCGAGGGCATCTATGTCGTCGAAGGGGTCGCGGTAATGGTGCTGGCGCTGTGGTGAGAGGGGCGATTGATCCTGGCTATTGTAATCGTAATGGTCGAGATGGTCGAGGAACGGCCCGGAGCGCGAAACAGGCTCGTCTCGGAGACTGCCATGGTCCATGGTGTCGTTGTACTCGTCCCTCCTCCCATCACTCTATGGCAGCTCCTGGCGGGCTGGCTGCTACGACTGTGCACACGCCTCGGAGCGAACAAGATTTGAGGATTCCAGAGATCATCGACGTTCCATGCGGGCAACTGGGGTGGGCTTGGTGGGCGGGATGTTGGGGCCTGTCGAGGTTGATGCGCTGGCAAGCACGAGGATTGGTTGGATTGGGCTGGTCTGGCTGGATTGGCCGTCGGCAGAAGCAACTGGGGACAGCCCTGGGCGAAGAAACAACGTCCCTCCACCTCTGGCACTGGGCAGTCACACTCTCGGCACCGCTGCTGCAAGCCGCGGATCCACCCAGAGCGCCAAGTGAAGGAAGGGGGCTTCCTCCCTGTATGTGGGCAATTCGCAATACAGGCAGGAACCCGTCCCATCCTCGCGGCCGTTAAACGGGGTATTTTACTTTTCATGTATGTAGTCACAATGCAGGTGGCCTGGTTGAGTTGTGGGCACTTGTCAGACTGTACCAAGTACATACAATGAACACAGTCAAACTCGGTAGCGCAGATACAAGGAAAGTCTCGGCAAGTATTGTCCTCGGAATGCTTCAAAACCCTGAACGCAATTTCCTGTGCTATGGGGGGCCCGGGTTCGTCCTATGCGAGGGCGGCTGCAGCAAGAAAAAAAAAAGTCGCACACAGCGGGGTTGCAATTGGAAGTGCATTGCATGTCAGCCAGGCTCGAACCGGGGTCCAGGTAGGTTGCTTGCGAGGAAGGTTGGAGGATCGAGCAGATTCGGGTTCGAAATGGATTGATTCTAGGTACTTGGTACGAATACTGATGAGAAAGCAACTGCCCGATTTGGATTTGGGCTCAAACCCACCTTCGTTTTGACATCTCACTCCTACTGGCCTCTCTCACTTCCTGCCCCTTTTCTTCTCTGCTTCTCGGTTCAAGTTTCCTTCGGTTTCGTGTATTTCGGGAATTTCTTCCCCTCGAAAAGCAAGGTTAAACCCTGGCTGAGTTCGGATTGAGTTCAGATGGAAAGCCAAACGAAAAAAAAATCCGAGGAATAATTAGAGGGATAAACCCCAACGCCACAGTTGTTCCTGGATGCCCGTGCGAGGAAGTTCACCAAAAGCAGCTAAAGATTTGAGATCTGCTGCCGTCGAGGAGAATGAACTCTCACAGAGTCTGTACCAATCTCCCAATAAAAAAGAAAGGGAAGAAAGATAATGCCCGCGGCTTCTTTTCCAAGCCTGCGTTTGCACTTACTTGCCTGCCCTCCTGCCGTGCTTGCCTCGAGGTGTGGTCTTCTCTTCGGGTCCCACTTTCCGTATTCCGATCGCTCCTGGGGTTGGCTGGGAATTTCGTTGGCAGCGAATCGCGGGCGTCCGATCCGAAGGCATGAAAGTCGGTCCAGTGGGTGTGGCTGCCTAATGACGCCCACAATCGACAATGATTCCCCAGAAACCCAGAACACTGCTGCAGAGCTGCAGTTCATCGAGCGCCAACCAGGAAACGAACATCCACCCGCAAGTGCAAACGATGTTGGGCAGCGTGGCTTGACCCCCAAGAAAGGACCAAAAGAAGGTTGTCACGAAACTGGCCCGACTCGACTGGGCAAACCGTTTGAGGCTATCAGCCATCCCGACCCATCCACGCCCTCCGACGCGCCGACACGCCGTCACACAACTTCCGCAGAGCATCCAACCCAGTGCGCGCTTGCCAGTGCTCGCCAGTGCCACTCGTCTGCTTCGGGCTTGGCTACCATACTTGTTGGAGCCGGTGGCTGCCCATCCAATCGGCCAGCCTAGATGCGCCCGTCTTGCTCTGTTCAATTGAAGGACGGAATTGACTGATGAAAAGAGCCCGTCTGAATCCCAATTCATCTCATCCCGCACCACTCCTACCCAATCACCCAGCAGCACATGTCGCCCGGCTGTTGATAGGTTTTGTCTCTCGCTATCAAGCTGGTCAGTCGGCCTCTCATCTTTGACGAGGTATGCACCGAAGGGAACTTTGCTCGCTCAGGAACATCGTTGGGGGTCATTCGAAGCCGTTGGGCTATCTGCAGAAGCGACCTGTGGAGCCCATCGACCGGGCCCCGCATCAATGGACCCGGCTTCGGGTCCGGGGTCCCGAAAGAGGGGCCGAGACCACGCCGGAGCGTTAACTGGGCCTAGCTCCGTTGAACCACCGGCAAAGCACGTCAAGTGTGCGAAGCCACCCAACGTCATCATCAAGCACGCGCTGCTCGCCCAGTATTATCCGGAAATCCAGACGTTGCGTCAATACGCCCTCTCAGAGCTACCCTCCTCTTCGCGTATTCGACGGAAGAAGATCGGATCAGTAGGGCTTGGCCATCTCTCTCCTAACGAAACCCCTACGGAAGATGAGCTTGTCCTGGGTGAGCTTCTCGACACAACCATTGTGGCGCGCCGCCAACGCCCCGAGGTTGACCACGGCCATCGCTGGCTGCAATGGATCGGCTTCTCGCAGAAAGGCGACGAGTCGTACGTGACCCTCTCAGATGGCCTCAAGTGGTCCATCTACTCGCAGTCCGAGGTAAGAGGGCGATACGTGTAGCGTACCAAACGACGTAACTCACATGTTCACACGCTGGAAGATCGTTGATTTTGCCGTTTGGCTCCTATTCTCCCGAGAAGAGACCGGCTCCTGGCCAAAGCACACCTTGTGCGATGGATTCAGAAAGCAGGCCGGCCAAAGCAACAGACCCAACCCTGCTGCCGCGTCAACTATCCCCGGATTGTATTCAGCTTATCCCAATCAGCATGTTCATGCACTGAAGCAAAGCCCTTGGCCGCAACTTCTCATGTTGCTGGGGAAAGAAGGGGAGCGCATCATGATCGATTTATTAGTTGACTGTGCCATATTCAGATCCGTGAAGGCCGGTAAGAGGAACCTTTACCAGATGGGCGGAACCCCCATCTCGGAGCTCGAAACTTTACCACAGGCCAATGGCAACGCAAAAGCTTTCCCTGTGGGTGTTGGCCAGAGAGATGTTGGTCTCCGTCCCTCCGAAATTTCCTTTGCCAGGAATAGGATGCTTTACGCCAGGGCCGCCCTCAATGCCCGAGGTCTCGTCCAATTCGGCCTCCGCCATATTCGTATGTCTTCTTCCGTTTACTTTGTTTATCCCATAATCCGATACTCACCAGACTAGATGTTCTGAATCGATTTCCTTACAAGGAATCTGCAAAACGTGGCCAGAACCATGAGGATGTCGTTCATATCATGATGTATCTATTCCCCCGGCAATTTGGTCTTCACAACGTGTTTACATCGGTTGTGAATCGAAGGCAAACGGCTCAGAAGGTTCAGGATTATGCGCTCCGTGAAGAAGAGATAGCCGCCAAGTGCTCTCTGTCAGACCCCAAAAAGAAACCTGTCAAACATGTCCCCAGGAGGCTCAGGGGCAAGACGGTGGATCTAGTCCAACGATTGCAGGTACTTCATTCACGCTGTTCTTACGCAGAGATGCTGCAGCATTATTGCCCAGTAAGTGCATTTCTTCTCGTCTACCGAACCTGGCGCTCATATATCCAGGTTCCCGGGCAAGCCAACAGTCAGAAGACGACCCAGGCGACTTCTGATCCGGCGCTGCCGCAATCCTCTAGGCCGCCAAACAAGTCTAAAAGAAAGGCGAACGGCCCGAAGTCGCTAGCCACACCTGTCGTGAATATGCAGTACGCCTCTCTTACCGAGTTAGCCACCCCGGCTGCGAGTGTTTCCGCGTTTTGCCAGGCCGTCATCTCTCGAGTCATCCCCAATGAGTTTTGGGGCCAAGAGTCCATCCAAGAGCACAATAAAGCGTGCTTCCTAAGAAAGATCCATCACTTTGTTTGTCTTCGGCGCTTCGAGTGCATGTACCTACACGAGGTGATGCAGGGAATGAAGGTAGGCGCAATTACCGTACTCGCTCTCCGGCTTATATTGACGGTTCGGCAGATTAATGACATAGAATGGCTCATACCGCCAGGGCTGGGCAACCACAAGAGCTCCCAGTCGGACACGCGAAAGCGAACAGAAATCTTCTACGAGTTCTTGTACTACCTCATCGACTCGTTCTTAATACCCTTGATTCGCAACAACTTTTACGTTACGGAGTCCAATGTTGACCGGTACCGTCTCTTTTTCTTCCGCCATGATGTTTGGCGCTATGTGGCCGAGCCGGCCCTAGCTGTTTTGAAAACGACTATGTTTGAAGAGGTGAAGATGGAGGACGCTCGCCAGATCTTACAGTCACGGCGGCTGGGTTACTCTCACGTTCGACTCCTTCCGAAGCAGACTAAGATGCGCCCGATCATGAATCTACGGCGGCGTACACTCCTCCCAGGAAAGAGTAAGCTATTAGGGCCTAGTATCAACTCAATTTTAGGCCCGGTTAGCGCGGTGCTCAAACTTGAGAAGGTGAGACTATTGTTCACAGCACGCAGGACTAATCCACTGACACAAAAAAACAGACCTTGAACCCGAGCCGGTTGGGTACGTCACTCTTCTCCGTCGGAGACGTTTATCAGCGCATCAAGGCCTTCAAAACCGAGCTTGGCGACGGACAGCACAAGTTTTACTTCGCCAAAGTAGACGTCCAAGCAGCCTTCGACACGATCCCTCAGGACGCCATGATCGAACTTCTCAAACAAATCCCCCAACAATCCCAATACAAACTCCTAAAGCACGCCGAAGTCGCCCTGTCCGAGTCACCCACCGGCAGCGCCACAGACGCGAAGCCCACCCGGCGATGGCACGCCACCGCAGCCACCAGCACCGACACGCGCCCTTTCCCCCAACGCCTCCAAGAAGACGCCCCCCTTCCGCAAGAAGAAGAACGACACCGTCTTCGTCAGCAGCGCCGCGCACACCACCCACCACGCCCGCGACCTGCTGGCCCTCACCGCCGCGCACGTCCAGCAGAACCTCGTGCGCGTCGGGAAAAAGTTCTAC